ACTGTCTATCAATTTAATAATTATATAACATATATAGTATATAACGTGTTAATAGCAATAGTTGAAATAGTTCGAATAGTTCAAGATAAATGAGATTCCTTTAAAACTATAGAAATTGATATGAAAAACAAGATCACAATATCAAATAATCCTACAGTAGTAGTAAAGTACACTTTGTAGCACAATCCCCTATATACATGTACATATATATATATTAAATTAGCTTCAAGCTTAATTGTTAGAATTAATTAGCAACGGTTTGGGTAATCGGTGAATTTTGAAGATAAATTTGGTCAGTAGGATTTAATCTAGTTACATATAAATATCTTAAAACCGTATAATTCATAAATTGACTTTCACGCAAATTTCTATTGTAAACAATACCAAATTCAAATTAGTTTAAAACAATGAATTATTTTTTTTATTACAATTATCAACTCGTTTTGTTTAAATATTATTGGGATTATTTTTATCCTAATCAAGGAGGAGAGTGGGTAGATATCTGTTTAGTATTTCTTTGTTTCTTCTCTTCGTTTTATCCTCTTACCCCCGTTTGTCGAGTTTGAGATAATTTATATGATGCAAATATGACGTAGTCCATGTTATTGGCAGGCAAAGAGGGTTTCTCTTGGGGTTGGTGGAGCTTTGGTGGAACTACCAGCAACTGAACGAGGCGGATGGGCCAACCCCATCGAGTTTGTTCTATCCTGCATCGGGTATGCCGTTGGCATCGGCAATGTTTGGCGTTTCCCTTACCTCGTATATCGCAATGGCGGTGGTACGTATATGTATTATGCGTGTAGGGTATATACATTATGTGCGTAAGTGCGTGGGGGGTTGGGGGTTGAGTGTGAGGGATGCATACCTCCTATGTGAGTACTACTAGTTCGTTCCCTCACGTACAGTTACTCCTGTGCAACCACCCTTCCTCCTCGTCCTCCCCCTATTCTTCACTCCCCTACCTACAAACATATATATATGTATATATATATGTATATATATATATATATATATATA